ACCTTGAAGATGTTCTGATTCTGCACCTGGCTTGGCATACAAAGGGATGTCAAGCCTCAGACCTAATCTGAACACAAGCCCAAATCATGTGCTATTTTCCACAAGTTCTGGATCCTTCTGGGGGTGGGGGGAGATGTGACTCTTTTTGATGTCTTATGAAAAAAGTTATGTACCTGCTATGACATCAACTGCATGTTCGTAATAAAACTTGTATAAAATTTTAGGATGTTCTTGTACTCTTTGAAGCTTAGCAATAAATCACTGGCTTAAGATTCATTGCCTTCAAAGGCAATGCACACACACACACACACACATACACACACACACACACACACACACACAGAGAAATGGTAGTAAGACTTTGCTGCCTCTTCAGCAGTTATTATTTTGTGGTGTGTTGCCTGCTAGATCCTGTTTCGATGACAGCTTTGTCAATCATGTTGAATGGCTGCCAGCCATAACTCTGTTGATGCTCAGTTGCAGAGCATGGGGTTTCCTGGAGCTATGGTTTCAAGGTGGCAGCTCTAGTTTTTATTTCTGGAAGTTGCCCATCTAGCTTTTGGGGAAAAAGGAAAACAGATGGTCAGGGAAGCAGAGGAACAAGGCACAGACAGTGATATGGAAGAAGGAAAGCATCTGCAGGTAGCCTGATCAGGTTCTACCACTCTTTCTGTAACTTTCCCAAAGTCACACTCTTTCCCCCAAGGGCCCTGAAATCTGGGCAGGTCAGCTCCCAGGCCCTTCCCCTGTTATTGATCTTCCATGGGGATGGTTTCATTTTTAGTATTAATATTTAATAACAAAAACCCAGTCTCCTTTCTTAACTTTTCCCATTCTCTTATTTGCCATTACTTGATTATTTTTATTTATGATTTTTTTTTTGTTGGTTGTGGGACTTGAACTCTGGGCTTGAACTTTGGGCAGGCTTGGGCACTGTCTGGGTGCTGTCTCTGCACTTTTCAGCTCAAGTCCAGTGCTGTACTGCTTGAGTCACAGTGCCACTTCTGGTTTTCTAGTAGTGTATTGGAGAAGAGTCTCACAGACTTTCCTGCCCAGGCTGGCTTTGAACGGCAATCCTCAGATCTCAGCATCCTGAGTAGCTAGGATTATAGGTGTGAGCCACCAGTGCCTAGTTATTTATGAATTTTTGCTCAAAATAAAGGTCTGATTGATTCTGTTAATTGACTTCTGTGTGTGTGTGTGTGTGTGTGTGTGTATGTGTGTATTTCCCATCTTGGCATTTTCTTCTTGAGCCCACCCTGTACCCTTCTCCAGTCCTCTCTCTGTTTCCTTGTAGATCTGGTTCTAATCACAACTCAGTATCATTCAATACTCCCAATTCCCAGTAGAAAAAGTCTTGTATATTTATCTCAGGTGTCCTAGGCTCCAGCCCTGTGTTTGGCTGGGTATTTGGGAGGCAAGTAGAAATGGTGCAGACACAGAGAGAAGCTGGGCATAATGACAGCTGTATGTGCACTCAGGGGTCTATGGAGAAGAGAGGGTTAATTCTGAGTTGTGTGAAGCCTAGCCAAGGACCCAGTGTTCCAGAAGAATGCAAATAAAGCCCCCAGAGATGCAATAGGAAGAGCACAGCCCAACATAATTAAACGCAGGGTGGAGCTTTTATATTAAACACTGGAAAGCATGAGGTTGAATGGATTGCAAAAGACTGAGAAGCTGGGGTGATCACAGGCTTAGGACTTAGGCCAGGTATGGAGATGTGGTAAAAACTTTATGGGCTTTTTGGAGGAAACTGTTTTGCTACAATTCCTCAACCCTAACTGAGCTTGCCTCTAAATCCTTAAGGTAGTAGGAGCAATTAAGTAAGGGATCAAACCCACAAAAACAAAATGCACCAAGAAAGTTTCTCAAAACCTGAATTGGAAAGGTAAAACATCAATCTTTCAATATTGCTTAGTAACTATTGTCTTAAAACATTGCACTTCTTTCTGCAACGCTTTTTCATTACTACATACTCTTTACTTCTGGAAAGAGATTCTGGGAAAATGCCCCCCAAACAGTTTCTTAACAACATATAAACCTTCTTCCTGCCTCCCCTTTTCTCCCTCATCTGTCCTTCTAGGGCCTTAAAACAGATTCACCGGACACTAAAAGGCTCTGAGAACTAGAAATCTGCTTAGATATTTGATTTTCATTCAAAAGACTAAAGGCTGAGTTGCAGAAAGCATCCAGCCCAGTCTGGGTGCCTGAAGGTCTGGAGTTCTTCTGTCTCTGTGATTTCCCCCAGGGCTGGTGTACCAAAACCCCATTTGTACTTTGGCTCTGATTCTAACCAGTTGTGTGGGTTTGGACAACTCATTAAACTTGTCTCGTCTGTTAATCTGTTAGTAAGATGAAGAGTTTAAACTAGAGAATCCCCAAATTTTCCTTCAGCAGAAAAGTCCCATGAATACTAGTGACCTGCTTAAACCTCTTTTCTCATTTCTCCAGGTTAAAAGCATGATGGAGTCTCAGCCACCAAAAAGGAAGTGGTGACAGTGTATGCAGAAGTACTAGGTGAACCTTAAAGCAACACAAATGTTAGCTATCATCATGGAGTTGTTTTTGCAGATCTTTTTTTCAGGGAATATTTGATGCCTTCTTCGATTTGTGGTAAAGAGCCATTCCTATCTTATGGAAATTCATAAAATTCAGGTCTTGGTTTGGCAAAAGGAGACAGAATGTGAGTAGAGGAAATTGTTGAAAATAACATCTCTGAAAGTTCTTTAGAAAGATGTATGTTAGACTTACCCTCACTTCCTAGGTCAATAGATTGTTCTGTCTCATTTAAGCGCTTACACTCTCATTCTTAGTTTGGGCTTTGCCCTAAGCATTGTAAAAAGCCTTGGAGAGTTCCAAGGGCAGTAATTGAAGTTTTAGGTGCTTTTGCTTCTCACCTGTTCATTTCCAAGCAGTTTACCTGCATTGTCATTAGCATTCCAAACCTAACACCAGGCATTACTCTTTCCTTAGAGAAGAAGAAGGTGATATTATCAAAGCTTTGGATGGAGAGAAAGCCATTTGGCAGTGCTTGAGATGATGGGAAAATAGTATGGGAAGATTTTCTACTAGTTTCTTTTGGGAGTAATTTTCTAAGATGTAGAGATTGTTTTAGAATTTTTTAGATGCTGTCTTAAAAATGGCAATCATATCTTGGGATATGGCTTTACCATTGGTGCCTTATAAATGGGCCGAATTAGCAAATAGAGGGAAGGGAGTCAGAAGACCATGGTAATTGAGGGGAAGAAAAAGGTCAAGAACCAGAATCAAGTGTGGAGAAAGAGATGGGTACGGAAGAAAAAGGAGCCAACCATCACTGCTCAGAGGAGAGGACAGTAGAGAGAAAAGAAAGGAGAGAGTTGCAGATAATGGAAAGGACAAAACAAGACAGTGGCTGGGAAGTTGTGATTTAAAAAAGCAAACATGACTCAGAGGCTAATTCAGATCACTCTGATGATCAGAATGATCATTCTGATCATTCCAGGAGGCCCAAACCCTATAGATGAGCTCATATCCAGTTGTATTTATTGCATAGATTAAAATAAACATGCAAGGCAAATTTTTAAGAACACACCAATAAATGGTAAATGAGACACAGGTCTTGTCCTCAGCAAGTTTATATTCTTGTTAAGAAGGAGAACCAGGATAGGAAACACAGATAAAAATAATGCCAACTAGAATGTAATCACGGACAACAATCAGAGGGGACAATAGGACAATACCAAGGGATGCTGAGACAGGAAGGCCGATCCTATCAAGTCACGAGGCACAATAAAGAATCCAGGAAGGTATTGTAGCCGGCTGGAGAGGCATCTGAAGAGCTGGCAGGGGGTGGGAGAGCATGTGGAGCAATGAATGGTTCAAATGAGTTCCAGTTAAACGGGAGTGTTTTTGGACTGGGGTATGCAGATACCTGGTCCCCAAACCTTTAAGAATGTCAGCTGACACTCCAAGGAGGTAATCAGAAGTTTTAAGAATGTCAGCTGACACTCCAGGGAGGTAATCAGAAGTTTGTAAAGAACTCTATCTCCGTCTTCCCCCCTCCCCCCTCCCCCCTCCCCTGTCATTCCTCAGATAATATCATTGCTTGGTTACTATGAGGTGAGACTGAGCAGAAAGGGGTAATAAACCAGGGAAAGTGGACGCAGTTCCGTTCCCGAGGGATCATTTAAGTAATGCCCATCAGACACAGAAAGTGGCTGAGATCTCTTGGGGAGAACACAGACTGCATAAGGTTCTGGTCATTACCTTGGGAGACAAGAGATCTAGAAAGAACCAGGCAAAGATGAGCTAAACAAAGCAGCCAGAAGGAGAAGTTATATACATAGCCACAGAAGGCTGCTTCAATACAAAAACTGGAGACACAGTTGCGATCCCCAACCTTAGAGGCTGGAAGGTGCGAAGTTGAACCCCAGACCCTGAGCTGGTTAGCCAAAGGGACTTGAGCGTTTTTTGAGTCTCTGCATGGAACCATTTTTAATCCCCAAGGCTGTGGGCATTCATTGGGTGAACGTCTTAGCGGGTCTGCACCAGGGTAAGAGCCACGGCGTGAGCACCCGCTGGCGGGAGACTTAGAGGTTGGGCTTTTCTCTTGAATTGTGTCCAGAAGTAGAAGTAGGGATCCCCAGGAAGCCCAAAGCCTTGCCTTTAGCCGATTCTGGTCAATGTCAAGTGATGGAAATGGTCGGGTTGGGTAAAGGCCACCCTAATCCCAGCCCTCCCCCGTCCCTCCACCCCCCAAACCTTTCTGCACACGTCTACATCCTGCAGCTCCTCCCAATACCCGCCCCCCCCTCAACCCAACCCAGACTTCCCGCTAGGCTTCAATCAGCCACCGGCGAGAGCCTTTGCGCACGCGCGTCCCGCCCCGCCCCGACTTTCCACGTTTCACTTCCCTCCCTTTTCCACCTCCGCCGCAGCTCCGCCGCTACGATTGGCCAGCCGACCTCTTCGCCTCGGCCAATAAACGCCGCCCTGTCGCCCCCGTGTTACTGGGTAGAACAAAACAAAAACAAACAGAGCGAGAGGGGCCAGAGGCGCTGCGGGGCGACGGCCGAGGCTGAGGCGCGGGGGTCGGGGCCGGCGGACCCG